CAACGCGACCTTCTTACGTTTCCGTGGTGGCACCGTCCCCTCCTTCGCGGGTGAGACGCCGAGGTGGCGTCTGTGACCATGGAGGTCACAGGAGGCCAGGGCTGCAGAGTCCCCGGGACCCTCGGGACTTTTAGAAAAACCCAAACTTCTGTGCGCCACGGCGGGCGCGGAAGGAGCCGCTGCCGGGCTTTGGGCCCGGGCCGCCTGCCTGAGAGCCGCGGGCCACAGGGAGGGAGGCTGGCACCGTGGCGTGGGTCGGTGGGGTGCAGTCCCAGATGAAACCCTCTCCGCTGTGAAATACGCACTCCCCCCCCCCCAAAAAAAGCAGTGAAGCTGAGTGTGGTGGTGCACACCTGTAATCCCAGCGTCCTGGGAGGCTGAGGCAGGAGGATCCTGAGTTGGATCCCAACCTGTGAAAAACAGAGACTTAGCGAGACCTTGTCTCAAAAGGAAAAATAAAAAGGGTTGGGGATGTAGCTCAGCGGGAAGGCGCTGAGTTCAATCTCCCGCGATTTAGAACACGGTTCTGTTCTCGGGGAGGTCGCAGAGCTAATCCCCTCCGAGCTCGCAGGCCCCTCTGCTCAGGACGCCAGGCCGCGCTTGCCCCGCGACCCCGCGGCGCCGCCTTCTGCAGCGGGGTGTAGGAGCTGTCTGCGCGCGGTCGCTCAGCAGCTGCGTCTCAGGGAGCAAAGGGCGGCCGCGCACAGGCCTCCGTGGGCAGGAGACCGGAGGCGCACGCGGGGACCCGAGGACCTGTGTGCGTGGACGCAGCCAGTCCCCCAGACAGGCGCCGTGCAGCTCCCCGCAGAGGGACGGAGCCGACGAGCGGGGAGAGGGTTCCCGCTGTGCAGGCCCAACTTCTGGAGATGGCGGTGACTGCTGCGGGCATCTGACCTAATGCTAATCCAGCATTCAGGAGGCTGAGGCGGGAGGATCACCACAAGCTGAAGGCCAGCCGGGGCTACACAGTGAGACCCTGTGTCAGGCAAAGCAAAGCAAAGCAAAGTAAAATAAAACAAATCACGGTAAGGCCAATGTGCATTCAGTGCATGAACCCCGCAAACACCGCGACTCAGCAACTCCTGGCGCCGCGGCCCAGTGCTCACCCTCACGTCACGGGTTCCCTCGCGGGGAGCCAGCAAAGTCCAAAGCCCCCTTTGTGCAGGGCACCCTCTGGATGTGACTCCTTGGAAGTCTTCGGAGAGAGGTGGTCAAAGAACCACCCGCTGTTGATGACTTTAGGTTCTTGGGTTGTAGCTCTTGAATCAAATACTATTTGAATCACGGCCCGGGACTGCAGAAGGGCTGCGCAGTTTCTTCATCTTTATTCTTTTTTTTTCTGGTA